CCCGAAGGAGAACACAATATGATAGGAGTATTCGGCACATATTTATAGTATATATCTTTCAACACAAGCATATTCAGAATAGTCAAATTTATAAGGAATAACTCGGAAATGAGAAATAAGAGTTTGGCCCTTCATACTTGAACTTACGAGAACACCGAGGGATTCGATTCTTGGAGAGAGGTTTAGCCAACATACCTCGCTTTGAGCTTTCCTTAAATTACTACAATATTCCAAAAATCCTAGTAACTTAAATATATTTAGAGACATAATAAAATTGAACAACAATTAGGAAGATATTCGTGGGTTCATCTCATTTAAGCATTTCATCAAACACTATGTGTGCAACTTAACTACAAGATACTTCTACAAGATTTCCTTCACCCCACAACCAATTCAGCACCAAGAGTTCACCCATATTACTTCAGTGACCTCTCCACCATCATTATGGGTACATGCATGCATAAATAACAACTTCCATACCCAAGAATCACACTCCCCATTACCCAACTTCTTCCCAAACTCAAAATTGGAGACTAGGGTATGGAACCTTACCTCTTAGATGAAGACCTTATGAGCTCACCTTGTGAATTCTCTATGGCTTGGAAAAGGGAGTGAAGTGGTAGGTGTTGGAGTTCCTCCTTCTCTCTCTAGTTCCTCTTGTCTCTCTTAAAATATCTGATTCAACCAGCCAAAATAACCCTAAGGTTGTTTTATAGGAAATAGGGTCGGGTTATAAAATCAAACAATGGACCCTCCGAACTCAATTATGCGGACGCATAGTGGACCGCAGAACATGTATGCATTCCGCACAATGGATCAGGAAATGGTCCTCCAAAACTGGGCTGGCATGGTCTAGTCTACGATAGATTTGCGGTCCGCAAATCAGTTATGCGGTCGCATAATGCGGCGTAGAATCTTCCTCCGAAGTTTTCTCATGCTAGTGCTGCGAATGGTTAGCGGTCGCATACTGGACCACATAATGACCTCCAAAAATTAGCCTAAGTACTGTTGCATTCTACGGCCCATCTGCGGCCCGCGAAGAGGTTCTGCGATTGCATAGTAGATCGCAGAAAATATCGTGTCTTGCAAAAGTTTTCCTCCAACTCCCCAACATATTGTACAACCTAAAAGGTCCGTACTGTGGCGAGCTCTACAATCCTCAAACACATTAACCTACCTCGGCACCACGAAACCATGGGTTCTAGGTGAAATATTTTGGGGCCTTACATCCTCTCCCCCACTTAGGATCATTCATCCTCGAATGATGGTCAAAATCCATCATCAGCATCCAATGTGACTCAATGCTTAATTCACACACCAGCAGTTCCAAATTTTGACTAACTCCCCAAATTTCAAGAAATTTCGGTAGAGTTTCCCCTATAACTTGGCCTATCCACCTGTCAGAGAATCCCAGAAACCAGTCCAAACAGTATAACTGCAACACCACGATGTATCACAACATGAAAACAACATCAACCATGGCATCATAATTCTTATATTACCAAAATGGAACATCCTTAACATAAACTGTACAAGGGAAACATAATTCATAAAAAGCGATTTCATAGAAACAATTACATTGTTATTCAAACTAATGGGGGTACTTCTTCTTCATCTCTTCCTCGGCCTCCCAGGTGGACTCTTCAACCTGCTGGTTTCGCCATAACACTTTCACGGAGGCAAACTCTTTATTTCTCAGCTTTCGCACTTGCCTATCGAGAATGGCAACTGGAATCTCATCATAAGTCAATTCCTCATTAATCTAAATAGTCTCAACTGGAACAATGAGTGTAGGGTCTCCAAATACCTTCTTTAACATAGACAAATGAAACAACGGGCGTACTAGCGATATCTCTGGTGGTAGCTCAAGCCTGTAAGCCACCTGACCAATTTCCCTTTTTTATCAAACCAAATTATACCCTTCATGGGGGAAACCTTCAAGAATACCCAATCGTCCTCTTTGAGCTCCAAATCCCTACGACGCACATCTGAATAGGACTTCTGACGACTCTGAGCAGTTTACAACCGTTCCTTAATGATCTTAACCTTCTCCATAGCATGATGCACGAGGTCTAGCCCTATCAACTCTGCTCCCCCAATCTCGAACCACCCAATGGGAGATCTAGATCTCCTGCCATATAGAGCCTCGAACAGTGACATCTGAATGCTAGCATTTTTTTTTGGCAATCCACTAGGCAAAGTGCCTAGGGCTAGTTTTTATATATATCCAAAAAGAAGAAAACAAGTGACATGAAGTTTACGTAGTGTAGGAACTTAAGCATTAAAATTACATAACTCCTATTACCATGGTTAAGTACTAATCTCAACCGTGATAGTACATCTTGAGCTATATTAATAAAAGCTAGCCACAATAAAAAGAATCTGGCCAGTTATGCAAGTGTACTGCCCAATGTTGCTGACTAATTCCCTCTTCGATCCATATGTGTCTTGATCATCAATGTTGTTAGCTATCAAATATCATAGCAAATTGCTCCATTGATTGCATTGCATTTCCACATTTGTGTACGAAAATCTGTCCATAATATGTCTAACGTCAAGCTGTGCATCTTTAACGTGTATACCTGGCTGAATCCAGTGAGCACCCCAGCACTGACTAGTAATGATGATGTTGTTGTGTTTGGTTCCAATTACTTGTGAGCTCCAGCTATGAATCACTGAACACTTCCCATACAACCAACTCTGAAATGTTAGATATGTGAGTAGTATTGAAATCAAACTATGTTTTGCACCTATCAATCCCATAATTTGGTTCCGAAGTACATAATTTGCTCGGTCAAACTGCCCTCTGTTATGTGTCTATTCAGTACACACACGTAGTGAATGTTCTGTTATCAAACTTTCCAACGCACATGTGGCTTTTTCCTTGACATTCCTGGTGCGCGTATTTTATTTTCTCCAAATGTTATGTTCCTCCACCAAATTCTGATTTCCATCTTTGAATCTCTTGTGCTCTCCATTTGCATTCTTCATCTGATGCTACATTGTATGGGCATGTTGACCAGCAGTAGCAATGACATATCTGACTGTTGCTTGTTGTTGCCTTGCAATCGTGCATACATAAACTGGCCATTAATTGTGCCTATCAGTGACACCTCCTCCAGGGATTGAGCACATAGTGCTAATACCACCCATTTAGTGATGATCAAATGAATGATGTAGGTCACTGTATCATCTCCTTTAGTGCAATTGTTGCACCTGTTTGTACGCATTGTAGGGATCATGCTCGATATTTCTTTATGTTTCCATTAAAAATAACAGTTGCTGGACAGAGTTGCTGGACAGTGTATCTTGTGTAGTCCTTGATATAACTGCAACTATCAATGACAGTAACGTGCAATACTTACGTGCATAGTTGAACCGTTCCAACTTTGCTATCAATGACAGTAACGTCCAACACCTCCCCACATGCATAATAGTTTCAACTTTGCACCAGTTCTGTGCATAGTTGAACCATTTCATTTTGAATATAAGTGCATGTGTGTCCCGCTGATGTTCTTTGCCTAAAATTAGGTGACTCCCTTCCTGTGCATTTGAGGTGTTAATCTGCACGTGGTTATATACTACAAACGCCCCATATGCTCTTGTTTTAGCTTGCCAAAAGTACCTGCGTGACACAGAAATTCCGAGCAGCAGAATACTCTTCTTTGATTCTATGCTTTTGCCTATCTTTAATTTCCTCCTAGTGGAATGAGTGCATTGCACTAATACCACCAACTGAAAGTTCATCAAAGAATAGGGCATAAATACAGTATCTTCACCTGCAAAACAGAAGTCTATGTTAGTAACAAAAGGAGGGCTCACCATGCTCTCCTCCATATGGATTTGAGCATGGTGATCAGATGTGTAGCCTCTTGTCAACTCCTTCTCCTTAGACTGATCTTCCCCTCCTATTCCTAATTCCTTGCTACTCTTACTCTTAAGTATGGACATTGCATCTTATCACTATTCACCAACCTTCTATCTTGTGCATCTAGGTCCTCAAGACAATTATATTCTATAGGACCAATATCTAGTGCATAATTTGCAATGTGATCTGCTAAGTTATTACCTTCTCGAAAAGTGTGTTTCACTGTTACATTGCATCTGGCCATCATCTCCTTAATCTTCTCAACAACTACACAGATAGCCCATGGTGATTTCCACTCTCCAGTTATTGCATTCTTTAAAAGCATAGAGTCAGTGTGAAAATCGATTAGAACATAGTCATTCTCCACACAACATTTCAAAGCTTCATTGATTGCACTTGCTTCAGCAACTGTATTTGAACCTTCTGGGATCTCTTTGCCACATGCATATACCACATCTCCCTCTTCATTTCTGAGTACAAATCCAATCAAGCTTCTACCTGGATTGCCCCTAGCTGCCCCGTCTGTATTAACTTTAATCCACCCTTGACTTGGAAACTCCCACAGCACCTTTGTATACGTTAGAGTTGGAGTTTATTGTTCCATCATTTTAACCAAGTCTGGCCACCTATGAGGAAAGTTCTGAATACCTGGATTTTTTAATTTGATAAGAGATTGCATAGTGGTGGAAATCTGATAAATGACTCTGCTAACAGTGACTGCATCTTCATATTTATAGTTGTTTCTTCTCTTCCACAATTCCCATACAATCACAGATGGCGGAGCTTGCATAATAGGCTTTAGTCTTTGAATAACATCAGCAGTCCAACACTTAACAACAGCTTGATAAAAAGTGATCCCATACAAAGCAATTCCTGCATGTCCAAGGAAGTATTTCCACACTCTAGTGGAACCATATGAGGTGAAAAACATATGCTACATTGTCTCTTCTTTTGGCTCAGCACAATACCAACATTTAGATGCCATTAGGTACCCTAGTCTCCTAAAAAAGGCATCCAGAGGCAGCCTATTTTTTCAAACTTCTCACATGAAAAAAGCAATCTTAAAAGGCAGTCCTTTCACCCAGATATTACTATAAGCATTGCAAGCTTCTTGCCTCCTTCTCAAATATTCTCAGGCAGATTTGACAGTGAAGTTTCCCCTAGTTTCTAGCATCCAAACATGTTTATCAAGGATTTCAATCGACACTTGTGGTTGTATGTTTTCCAGAATATGTGAAGCAATGTCTTCTGGTAAAATCTCTCTAATATTTTCCTCATCCCACTGTCCATCATACACCACCTCATATATGTTGTGTATGGATTCATCACACACAAAATCTGGGGGTGTGACAAAATATAAAGAGCCCAGTCCTATCCAGTTTTCAAACCAGAACAAAGCAGACCCCATTTTAGGTTGCCATAATATTTGATGCTCAATGATATCCCTACACTCAAGAATCTTTCTCCAAACATGGGATCCATTTTTCCAAGGCACCACCATAGGATTGAGTTTTTTGCAGTATTTTTGGCTCATAAACAAGCTCCACAGACTAGGTTTTGTTCTGAAGTTCCACCACAATTTACAAAATAAAGCCGTGGACATATCATGCAATGATCTGAAACCAACACCACCCTCATCCCATGGTAAGCATAGGGTGTTCCAATATGCCCAATGTCTACTCGCAGCACCTACAGAGTTGCACCAGAAGAACTGTGCAAATATCTTGTGTAACCTGTTGATCACATATGGTGGAGGATTGACCGTTGAAAGCAAGTGTATAGGCATAATCTGGAGTACATGTGATATAAGAACTTCCCTTCCTCCAATAGATAATAGCTTCCCTTTCCAAGTCTGCAACTTATCCATCACCTTTGTTATGAGACCTTGATAATACTCCATCCTCCTTCTAAGATAAAAAAATTGGACATCCAAGATACATAAATGGAAAATCCTGCTTAGGCATTCCTGTGATCCTTGTACCTTATCTACTACTTGTGCACTGGCAGAGTGGTGCATATATATAGCCGAATTACTCTTATTTATAAGCTTCCTAGAAGCAGCTTCATAAGCTGTCAATATTTCCATTATAAGTTGCAATGAAGTGGCATCTAAGGATGAAAAACTTGTGGTATCATCAGCATATGCTAGATGGTTTATCTTGGGGCTCCACTTAGGCAATCCAAATCCACAGAAATACAGGTTCTTATGCAAGGCATTTAGTCCTCTTGACATTGCTTCTGCAGCCAAAATAAAAAGAGTAGGTGATAGTGGGTTACTCTGCTTCACATCTCTTGTTGATCTAAAAAAGCCATGAGGCTGCCCAATGAGAAGTATAAAATACCAGTTATTTGACATAATCCCATGCACTAAGCCTATGAATATTTCTTCAAATCCCATCTTCCTCAGGACCTTTGTTAAGAAAAGCCAAGACAGTCGATCGTAGGCCTTTGTCATGTCTAATTTGATCATAACATTTTGACCTGCCTTGGTTCTCAATCAAAAATCTGTTATTATCTCCTGTGTTAGTAGAATTTTTTTCACTATGCTCCTTCCTTTTACAAAATCAGCCTGCTCATCTGAGATTAGATTAGGCAGCATACCTACCAATCTTTCATGTATTACTCTGAAAAACACATTATTTATGAAGTTGTTAAGGCTAATAGGTCGCATATCAGGAAAGGTCACAACTTCCTTCTTCTTGGGTAGCAAAACCAGATTTGTATGAGTTATGTACCTGGGCAGATCATTTCCATTGAAAAATTCCTTCACCATATCTACAATGTCATCACCAACTATATCTCAACATGAGTGAAAGAAGCACCCAGTAAATCCATCTAGTCCACCAGCACTTTCTATATTTAAGCCAAAAACTGCGTTTTTGACCTCTTCCATAGTAGGTTGTTGCATCAGTTATAGATTCTGATTATTGTCCACCATAGCAGATACATGATCTAGTATTCCAAAGGCAGTAGGAACTGAATCTTCATGGAACTGAGTTTGATCAAATCTTACTGCCTCATCAGCCATCTCTGCCTTGTCTTCTAGCCAATTGCTAGCATCATTCTGCACCCTTTTCAATTGTAGCCTTTTCCTTCGACCATTAATCTGTGCGTGAAAATATTTTGTCTTCCTATCTCCATCTTGAAACTAAGTCATGCCAGATTTTTGCTTCCAAAATTCTTCTTCTAAAGCTAAAAATCTAATCAACTCAGCTTGGACCTTCTACAGCCTTTCTCTATGTTGGATTCCTTTCAAACTCAGCTTCATGAACTAGCACCACCTCTTCTAAGCTTGCTATTTTCTGAAAAATATCACCATAAGTTGCCCTGCTCCATGTTGATAAAGCCTTCTTCAACCTCTTCAACTTGTAATTAAAAGTGAAAAAAGGATCCCCAACAAAGTCTGCTTTCCAGTTTTCTTTAACCAAATCCGTGAAAGTATGATGCTTTGTCCAAATATTGAGGAACTTAAATGCTTTTTTTATTGCAGTAGCATCAGCAATACATGTCAACAAAATAGGGTTATGATCAGACCCTATTTTTGATAGATGTGTTAACTCTAAACCTGGAAGCATCTATTGAAATTCTATGTTGGCCAAGCAGCAATTCAACCTTTTAAAAATGCAATCCTCTTCTGCCCTCCCATTCCACCAAGTAAATATACTCCCTTTGAAGCCTAGATCAGTGAGGTTATAAATATTGATGCAATGTCGAAAGTCATTAACCTCATTTAGTGAAACAGGCAGTCCACCAAATTTCTCCTCTTCATCCCAAATGACATTGAAATCACCCTTCACAAGCCAAGGCAATGACATATCCCTAGTCAAATTATACATGTTGTCCCATAACTCAATACATTCGATGGCATCACATTTCGCATAAGAAAACATAACAATGAATGAGACTTGAGTGTCCATATTTGTTAGCTTCATAGTCATTTGTTGCTCCATGTTGATCAGAAAATCTACTCCATGATCTTCATCTACAAACACCCATATCTTATTTGAAACATTAACAAAAGCGTGCAACATTCCAATTTTCCTTCTATATCCTTCTAGCTTCCTTGCCTTTTGCATTGGTTCCATGATCTCTATAAATTGAAAGTGATGATGTCTCTACATATTGGCAAGCCTCTCAAAGGCTTTCTTTGTATTAATAGATCTCACATTCCAAATGATCGCATTCATGATTAATTGTGAGATTTAGATGGGGTCCTTCTTGTTTGAACCCCAGGAACTAAACTTTGGTTATCTTTTGGTTGTTTTTTCTTTCCCCTTCCTGTTGATTTTCCTCCTTCCATGTGTCTAGGTGAAAGATCACCCTGCCTTGCAATATTTTTGAAGTTTTGTGTTGTGGATTCTTCATCAAAATCCTTCCTCTGCCTCCAGTATTTTTCTGATTTCTGTAGTCTTCAGGTTGAGCTTCCACCTGCTGTTGTAAATTCTTAGGGATCAATGCAGTGTTTCCTTTCAACTGAACTGATTGTTCTTTGGCTGTAGTGTGATTTTGCATTATGGTTGTTTTTGCTCCTCCATATACTGGATTGAATATGATCTGTTACACCAAAATTGGCCTTCAAAATCCCATCTTCTTTACTAATCTTATCTGCTTGAGCTCCAAATGATTTAGGATTGGGATTTAAAATTTGTTCCACTCCACTGCTTTCTGAGATTGTTAGATACTTTTCCATTTGAACATTTTCCTCTTCATTGATGTTGCTCTCTCCCCTTGGCTCTTGATTTTTGTTCTTAGCATTAACACTTTGTTCCTCTTAATCATTCTCTTTATCAGTTGAAACCTCTTCACCCATGACACCATCAAGCAATTCCCTTTCCTCTGAATCATCTTCAACTTGATAACACCATAATTTGCCTCCACTAAATTGTAACCTTTCATCACCCTTAGACATCCCATCTACTGCAGTAACATCAACAGATTGGGAAGGAATCTCTTGGCAGGACTGGTTGGTTGTAACATTACCAACAAATGTTCTATTTACCCATTGGGCAGTCGACTCTTTAGGTACCCCTTGATGAGCTACTAGTCGATCACCATTCTCATTCCCAGTAGATTTAAAATTGTTACCTTTCTTCGAAGATGCAATCTCATTAGAATTAGGATTAAAAGCTGGAGCAACTGGATTTAATCTCCCAGCTACATTATGATTAGGAACATGACTTTTTTTAGCTGGAGTTTCCTCCACTAAGGCTAGTTGATTAGACTCATTAACATCACCTCCAATACTGCAAATGTGTTTGTGATCTGATCTTGTTGTGCTGCAGCTTTGTCAACTGCAATAATTTCTTTTCTGGTTGTGACATTAGCATCAGTTTGTTTATCGTTGTTTTTCCCTCGATTGTCTCTAAATTTCTTCCATTGAGGTCCTACATTCCCAACTACCTTACCACTTGAAAGCACCATCAAAGGGCCAGTAGCTTTTCCTTTATCGACCATATTATCATTGGTAGTGTGATTATCTTCGTTGATGTCCATCTCCAAGATTGCAAGTTTATTAGTTGTTTGCACCTGTTGAGCAGTCTTCTCAACTGACACGATTTGTTGCCCAGTTTTAGTCACATTCCCGACAACTTTGCCACTCATGAGAAACATTAAAGGAGTAGAATGTTTTTTTATTTTCCCCTGGTGTTCCACTGTAGTAATGACATCGTGAAAATCATCAGCAGCAGCCCTCTTGTCATTGCTTCGATTTTTTACTAGGTCGGGGTGCAAGTGCCAACATTCAATTTCATTGTGGCGTTGAAGCTTACACACTTTATCCACTTTATTCTTACCCCTCCATTAACTTCGTCATCGATGTCCAAACGTATCTTCTTAGGTAGCTCGGCCAACAAATTAACTAGAACTTTTACTCTTGCGCAACTCGGCCTAGTTTTGTTTATCGTCGCCGTGTCAAGACACTGGGCCTCCCCACAACTGTAGCTAAGAAAAAAAGTGTTTCCTTTACAAAAAAGGTAGCCAGCAGTCCAGGAAAAGAAATTAATGCCATCGCCATCGGAGTTTTTTCACCCGCCTTAAATTTTGCATCGTAAATAAGAGTTCGCAACTGGTATTCGTGCCCATCTTTGGCTTTGATATAGTACGTACTCTTCGATGTGAAATCGAGGAAGTCTTGCCATAGATTTAATCTAATTAATACATGACGATCTCTAAGAAATCCAATGTTGCACTCTCCTTTGATGCCACACTGTGTTGGTATGATTCGACGAAGCTCATGAATCTCCAGAGATCCATATGAGAGTTTTCCGACGACGGCATATTGAAGACCTTCAATAACATTCATCCGCTTGACTTCCGCTGCTGTGAATCTAATAACTGGATGACCATTCAAGAAAGTAGCTCGTCGCATCGGAATGGGTTGCACTGAAGTTGCAGCAGTAGCCATTGCTGAAGAATTTAATGTGTTTGGTTTCAAAATCTTTGAGAAATCTAAAGGAGCTGGATTAGAGTTTGTTGTTGTATGGTGTTGTGCGACACTGGGGGAAGGCTGACCAGCCAGAAAAAATGGCTTGCCGCCGGCCATTGAAGCTCAAAACTCCAAATTTCTGTGATGAACAGTGACTCGCATGCTACTGTTCGCAGCACTGTTCACGGAGCAGTTTAGGTGCGATGTATGAATACTAGCATGGTAACTGTTGTTGTGGGAAAATTCTATGAGTGGAAAATAATCATACCAGCTACCTTAAAGTCAAGAACACAAGTGCGTAACATATTCTCGAGTGTCTGAATAATCTGCTCTGCCTTCCCGTCGGTCTGTGGAAGGAAGGTTTTACTAAGATTTACCTGAGTGCCCAAACCTTGCTGATTTCCTCCAAAATTTAGCTGTGAACTGTGCCTCTAGATCTAAAATAAAAAAAATAGGAGTGCCATGCAACCTGACTATTTCCTTGATATACAATTGAGCATATTGTTCCGCTGTGTTGATAGACGTAAGAGGTAAGAAGTGTGCTAATTTTGTGAGTCGATCCACAATCACCCAAATCGAGTCGAACTTACAAGGCGTACGGGGTAGGCCTACCACAAATTCCATATTGATCATCTCTCACTTCCACATTGGAATATCGATGTTTTGTGCCAATCCACCGGGCCTTTGGTATTTTGATTTCACTTGTTGACAATTTGGACATCTTGCCACAAAGTCTGCTACATTCCTTTTCATATCATTCCACCAGTAAATTTTTTTAAGATCATGGTACATCTTTGTAGAGCCTGGGTACACAGAATACGTAGAAGTGTGAGCCTCGGTCATGATTCTTTCTCCGAGACCATCTATATTTGGAACACGTAATCGCCATTGGTACCATAGTGTACCATCATCTGTGCCAAGAGAAAAATCCATGGTATTTTGTTCATAATCCCCTCCTTCAATTGTACCAACAATGGATCGTCGTAGTGCTTCTCATTTACTTCCAAAACAAGCGATGATTCAGCCCTGTTTTTCATAGTTACCCCTCCTTCACTAGGGTCCGCAAGACGAACTCCCAAACTAGCCAATCAATGAACCTCCTTGGCCAACGGCCTTTGATATGCCTCCAAGTGAGTCAAACTACCCATGAATTTCCGACTAAGAGAATCCGCCACAATATTAGCCTTCCCCAGATGATATAGAATATCGATGTCGTAGTCTTTGAGTAACTCAAGCCATCTTCTCTACCTTAGATTCAATTCCTTCTATTTGCAAATATATTGAAGGCTCTTATGGTCCATTAATATATCCATATGGACCCCATACAGATAATGATGCCAAATCATCAA